TGGGGCAACTTTCTTTGGTTCGTTGTTGTCTACCCCTGAATAAATGCCACCTACATTTCACCGTCTCTGCGGACCCTCTTGAGGATTCTAATTCGTTCTTATCTGGGCCCCTTACGTTTCTGTCGGACCAGGCGCTTTGGGGCAGCTTTTTTGCAGCGGTGTATATGTTTGTGTACCGTGTCCTTGGAAGGGAGGTCCCAGTGCTTTACAATAGGCTGAATTCGGTTTGGCATCTTTTGGTAGACTATCAGAGAAGAAAAGGAATTTTTTGATTCCTTCAAGACCCCCTACTGTTCCCCTCCCAAACCGACGTTTTCAAATTGCGGCTTTGAAAATTGGAGTGTTGGCTAGTGTGTGGAGAGAGTTGATGATTTCATTCCTTTGGGTACTAGTAAAACCATTTACGTATCAGCAGGAAGAGAGAGAGCTATTGACATTTGCATCGGCTCTGTTTGGACCTTTTGGGTATTTAAAATGTCGGGTTTTCTGAAAATTTTTGTTGAATTTAGAATGTGTGGTATGTTTATTTAACTCTTCTGCAAATGCTTAAAATGAAAACATTTTGTGAAATTCAAGGATTCTATCACATGGATTGTTCTCTTCAGATTTTAAATGTTTAATTCATATCTTTAACCCTAAACATTAAAATAACATTGAAGAGGCATACTTTTAGAGTTCAGGTGAGATATAGAAAGGGGATATGCATTTTTAAAAATGATTGGTGAAACATTACTATTAGTCTTTGTTGTTGTCGTTAAATGTTAGGAGATTTTAACTTGAGAGTTTCCCATAATTTTTCTGGTAGATAGCCATGAGAAGTGGGTAATTCCTCCACTTTGAACACTTGCAGTACAATATTCCAGTTAGTTTTAATGATTTGGGTATTGAAGATAATTGTCTGGTTTAAGACAGGCATTTATCCTAAGTAGCACTTGAAAACATAAATTTTTATGTTCTTATTCTCTCTTATTTTGGAAATCTGCGATTTTGTGAAATATTAATCAGCATATTGTTTCTATTGGAAACTCTATAGTCAAAAGGGTTTATTACCCAGAAATAGATTCCCTCTCTCCAAGTTTATTTTATAAATGTGTGTTAATTTTTACTTTTAAAAAGCAGAACTGAACTAGGTTATTTCAGAATCACTCGTAGTTCATTCAGGCTGAGGAAAATTGAGGCTTTTTTCCTCCTCGTTCTACCTAATGTCTGTTTCATTTGCAAACAATTTTTTGTTGGTAAGAGTTGTTAAAGACAGAAATAATGGTATTAAAAATTAAGCAATCTATTCTCTTCGAAATGTGTGTAATGTTAATAAAAGCACAATAAATCTAGAGACATTTATCATTTTTTAAAATGTAAGCAAACTTTGAGAAAGGGAATATTTTAATCTTTTCATTAACACGGATATTTTGTTGCATATTAATATATTTCGTTTTCCCTTTGTCTTTTCTACATTGTATTGAAATTATAAATTTAATTTTACAACTATCTGTTTTAAAATTACATATTTAAACAGCTAGACATTAAAACTGGCTTTTCATTTACCAAGTTAGTGTATTGTTTAGGTAGTTAACAAATGGTTAGAAGTCATTTTAAATCCACACATTTTCTAATGGATTTTCAGTATTAGGATGCAAATCTGATTTTGGAATTCTATTTAAGGTTCTAAACTTTTTGTTTTAAGACTTTCTCTGAGTCAGTATTCATTCTTCTCAGACTGCCTTTTTAAGGCTACTTTTTTCTATAGCCTAAGGAAAGCTACCTTTCACTCCCTCCCTCCCAGTCTGACCAAAAGCCCAGACACACAGGCTTATCCTGAAATTAACTCTTGTTTTAGTAGTGAAAAATGTACTAAGTATCCAATTTATCATTGAATTATTTTGGAAAAGGCATTGTTACTCTACTTTTTAGATACATTTAAAAAATAGAGGAAAGGCTGGTTTATAATAGCAGAAATTTTATACATATGTAATAAATAGCATAAAGTACATATTTATGGGGAGAGATCCAGGTTTCAGTCCTTTGATGATTTGAGCTTTAAATTCCCAGTTTAAGCGTGCAAATGATAATTAACTTGTGTTTTGTCTAGAAACTTCATCAGTTGCTTCTGTACTGGGGAACTAAGAACTCGGTTCCTGGTGACACTTTTTCAGAAAATCGGAACACTCCCAAACTAAAACTGCTTCAGAACCCCTGGACATAATCGTTTGGAACAGGGCAAGAAATTTAGACTCCAAAGGTGGCCCAAGAAAGCTGGCCGTTTAAAGCCCTAGTTTTTTGTCTTGGGGGAAACGATCATTAGCACGGAAGAATGGCCGGGACCAGCAGGCGCGTGCCCCCTCAGCACAATCCCATTGGCCTTGTCGCTGCTTTGAGCTCTTCTGAGGGGGTTAGGGCTTGGTTGGTACTGCGCAAGATAAACCCTTGAGGAAGAGCAGCGGCTCTCCTAGCTCGAGCTTCACCAGATGTTAGCCTCAACTTAAAAGTGAGACCCTAATGCCCTACAAGGTTCTGTGCGGAGACCCTGCCACTCAGCCTTTGCGTCTCTAGGGCTGAGGTCTATCCAGGGTCCTGATCGCTAATGTGGGAACCTGGAGAAGCCTCCGCTTCTTTACGTTTTTTGTGTGTGGCGCAAAGCGCTAACAGTTCTTAAGTCCCCTTCCCGACAGGAGAGGGAGTGCAGAAAAATCAGCACTGAGCGGGGTATATGTGATGCAGGAGGATGCCCCCCCAAACTAAGGGGGATGTTCTTTATGGTGCCCAAAGCCTGGGATTCTATCTCTTAGTGGGCTTCCTTTCTAGGGAGTCATTTGGAGGATCATTGGACAGGTGTTTCTAGAGTTGGCTCACCGGACTACCCCAGTTTGCTCTTTGGAAGCCAGGGTGCTTTGCCCTGTTTCTTCCTCTTAAATGGGAGTCGAGAGTAGTAAACGTCAGCCCAGAGCTAAAGTAACTAGTGCTGGATAGAATGGGACCCTTGCTAAGAGAAAAGGAAGCCGTGAATATTTAGCAGACTGATTTTCCCAGGATGTGAAGGGAAATATTAGGGGCTTTGAAGGCTCAGGTATTGATTGACAAGGCTTATGTCTTGGACTGGTCTGGGGTTCTTAGTCATTAGTCCTCTTTTTACCCCTCTCTTTTCCAGGAAGCTTGGGCAACCATGTACTTAGCTGTTTCCTGTACTAAGAGTGAGGGAGGCAAGTCTCCTTACTTTGGGGAATGCAAGATGTTCAATGGAAATGGAACCCATAGATGGGATAGGCGCACTCTTCTCAGGATGGAGGCAGCAGCAATCCATGCTTAAGAAAGCCAGGAATAGGGCTGTGAGGTCTATATCCTCTGAGCCCCCTAGAAGGTGATGGGTAGAGCGTAGGGGCACTGGCTGGGGGGTCCCTAGGAGATAGGCCTTAGCTTTCCCACAGCTGTTAGGACTGCAGACTTCAGTGAGATAGTTATGAGCATTCGCTATATATCTGGGAGAAGGAAAATAGGCCTTAGATTATGCCTCAAATCTAGGAAGAGAAACATCAATGATTTCTGAGACCAGAGACAACCCCTTTAGTTGTCACTGTCCAAAAGACCCATTGGTTACCTAATGGTCAGTAACCTAGCTGTCTGCCTAAAAACCAGCGATAATTTAATGTTTTACTTTTTGAGAGGTGGGGGCCCTCTTTGACACTCAGGAGTTTCTGGGAGGGTAAAAATTGATGAGTGAACCTGCGTTAATGAATCCCGTAAGGAACTGCGTTTCCCAGGAAATTCCTGGCATTTTTAGCTCGTGAATATCCTAAAAGCCTGCTTGGTTTTCTCCGTAATTCCGGGTCCTTCCAGAGAGGAAAAAGAGTGGGCTAGGGGCTGAAGGCTCGGCAGGGCCTGGTTCATCTGCAGAGCTGGCCAGCAACCCAGGCTGGGCTCAGCCCTGAGCCGAGTTGCCCCCCTTCCCCAAATCTCAGAAGGAGGGGGAGACAGGCAGTCAGTCTTGGTCCCAAAGGGGGTAGGTTGAAGGTTTGGGGGTCTGTGTGGGGTTTCTTTTTGATTATTGCTTGGAGGGGAGGACAGAGCCAACAGGAACAGGCATTGCGGGCACCCCGGCCCTGGTGCGGCTGCCGTCCTCTGCTCAGCCCCCCCCCCCTGCCAGTGAGTGCGCCCGCCCGACTGTGCGGGGCTGCGGTTGGGGGGAGGGGGGAGCGGGATCATCTGAGGCCAGAGCCGCTGCGCTGGGAGGGGGAGCGGCGGGAGCGAGGGGAGGGACCGGCTAGGTGTCTGCTGCTCCGCGCCACTGCTGCCGGCGCCCCAACCTCATCCCCCGCAGCCCCTTCTGCAGCTAAGGGTTACTGCCGCACCACCTCTCCTCTTCCTCACCCGCCTCGGCCAGGGCTCTGCGGTAGGAGACAGCCCAGCCTGGCGGCGTGTGGGCAGTTCTGGGTTTGGGTCTGGGTCTTGGTCTTGTTGGGGCCCGCAGGGGAGGGGTTGGCCGTGACTCGGTGTCCCTCTCTGCAGCGGGCTCAGCTGTGCTGCGCAGGCCCCTGCCCCCGCATCTCGTTGGGGTCACTGGAAAGCAGAGCTCAGACCAGCTTCCTTTGCTTAGTATGGCAGCCCTCTTCTCACCCCTAGTCCCCCAACTCCCCAGGCCAAGGCTGCCCAGGGTCTGGCCAACAGCGACAGCCACAGTGGTGGTGGTGGCAGCAGCTGCGACGCGGAGCGTCCTGCCCCCCCCCCCCCAGCCAGGGGTGTAGGGTGAGGGCGGGGGGTGGGGGGGGTGCCGCCTGGGCCGGCAGACAGGCGCTGGCATTGGGGAGGGGGCACAGGTCACGTGCCCAGGCGGGTGGGCGCGTACAGTAGGGCACCCTGCTACTGTACTGGGGAGTCAGTGCCCTGTTACCGGGTCTCGTCTGTCTCGTCTCTCCCGCAGATCTCGCGAGAGTGGCTGACTGGCTGTGGGGGTTGCGGCGGCAGCAGGCGGAGCCGGGGAGGGAAAGCAGCGGCGGCTGAGGCGACTGAGGCGGCGGGCGGAGCGGCAGGCGGCGGCGAGGCGGCGGAGCGCAGCATCATGGCGGACCGAGACAGCGGCAGCGAGCAGGGTGGTGCGGCGCTGGGCTCGGGCGGCTCCCTGGGGCACCCGGGCTCAGGCTCGGGCTCCGGCGGGGGCGGTGGTGGCGGCGGGGGCGGCGGCGGCAGTGGCGGAGGCGGCGGGGCCCCGGGGGGGCTGCAGCACGAGACGCAGGAGCTGGCCTCCAAGCGGGTGGACATCCAGAACAAGCGCTTCTACCTGGACGTGAAGCAGAACGCCAAGGGCCGCTTCCTGAAGATCGCTGAGGTGGGCGCGGGCGGCAACAAGAGCCGCCTCACTCTCTCCATGTCAGTGGCCGTGGAGTTCCGCGACTACCTGGGCGACTTCATCGAGCACTACGCGCAGCTGGGCCCCAGCCAGCCACCCGACCTGGCCCAGGCGCAGGACGAGCCGCGCCGGGCGCTCAAGAGTGAGTTCCTGGTGCGCGAGAACCGCAAGTACTACATGGATCTCAAAGAGAACCAGCGCGGCCGCTTCCTGCGCATCCGCCAGACGGTCAATCGGGGGCCCGGCCTGGGCTCCACGCAGGGCCAGACCATTGCGCTGCCCGCACAGGGGCTCATCGAGTTCCGCGACGCTCTGGCCAAGCTCATTGACGACTACGGAGTGGAGGAGGAGCCGGCAGAGCTGCCCGAGGGCACCTCCTTGACTGTGGACAACAAGCGCTTCTTCTTCGATGTGGGCTCCAACAAGTACGGCGTGTTTATGCGAGTGAGTGAGGTGAAGCCCACCTACCGCAACTCCATCACCGTGCCCTACAAGGTGTGGGCCAAGTTCGGACACACCTTCTGCAAATACTCGGAGGAGATGAAGAAAATTCAAGAGAAGCAGAGGGAGAAGCGAGCTGCCTGTGAGCAACTCCACCAGCAGCAGCAGCAGCAGCAGGAGGAGACCGCCGCTGCCACCCTGCTGCTGCAGGGTGAGGAAGAAGGGGAAGAAGATTGATCAAACTGAATGGGAAAAAAACCCACACACATGCATACACACACACACACACACACACACACAGCCACACACACACACACAGAAAATATACTGTAAAGAAAGAGAGAAAATAAAGTTAAAAAGTTAAAAAAAAAAAAAAACTTAACTCCAAGGGAGCACCACCCACAGAACCTCCACCAACTGACAGTTTCTCTTCTTGACTTGCCACCCATCGCTGGATGTTGTCCACTTTATCCACCATATAAAACAGTAAGCAGCTGCTAAAACAAAAAAAATACAAAAAGTAATAACATTATATGAACTGTGTTTCCTACTTGATTAAAAAATATAAAGAACTGAGTGTTTATTTCCCTAATTAACCAAGAACTTTTGTACACGTTTAAGCTATTATTATTAAAAGTGTTTGCAAAATGGTCAAGATTATAATATTGCTGAATTATATAAAAGTCCTTTTCATGTTGAGCTAACATTTGACTTTAGCACAAAAAAGAGATATTTTAGAACACGTAAAATAATATTTTTAGTTTTTCTCATTTTGTTACCAAATTTCAAACCTTACATGGAGGTTATTATAGTATATTTGACACCCTATATACCTGTGATTAGAGATGTGTATATATATGAGGGCTAGGCATGCTGTGTGTCTGAGCTTTGTCTAAATGTTATGCAGAAGTTTGTAGAGTTAAAGGTACGTAGGTTTAATTCATGCAAGGTAAACAATAAGTGCTCTCTTTTATACAATATGCATTGCATCTGGACCTTAAACATATAAAAATGGTCAGTGAAACTTCTGTGAACATGAAGAAATTATTAAAAAAGGCATTTAAATGAAATTTGCTAAGTTGTGATTTTTATGGTTGGAACCAAAGTTATTCAAATAGCAAAAGGAAAAAGAGAGAGAAAAAGGAAATCTCCCATAATATTTTTCTGCATCTGTTTGCTTTGACTGAGTAGGCGTTTTGTCATTATTGTGTATATGAGATGTACTTGTATTGTTCATAATATATTTTTTTTATTATGTGTAGAAAGATTTTAAAAACTAACGTGCAGCAATTTCCAGTGAACCTGTACTTGGACATCAGGTAGTGAGTCTATTTGTGGTCACTAGCACTGTCTCCTAAACTTGTAAGAGGTCTGAAGCTATCCTTTGGTTTTTGCCAGTGCTATTAACTTATGTAGACCTGTTAAAAAGCAGAGCAACACAATTATAGTTATCCTACTGAGCCATGGATTCTGAGTTTCATTTTAAAAGAGAAAGCCAAGTTAAGTTGGTGTATGTAAAGGATTTCCATGTAGCTGTGGTGCTAGTTATTACTGGCTACATTATATGCTAAGTGTATTTGTGTTCCCCAAGTGTACAAGCCTTCTATCAAAAGTATGTTCTATAATTCATATATTCAAGGTGTAGGGTGTGAACATGGAAAGCTTAGGAGAGCACTTTACCAAGCTGGTGTCCTCCAAACTGAAATTGTTTGTAACGATAGTCTTTTACAGGTTTTCATTTAAAGATGTTTGTGTGCTTTTAATTGACAACTAACTTCTTGCTGCTGTATAGTAAAATATTAATATATTTTTATCATTAAACTGCTGCATGACTATCATCTTTGAGTGAAGAGAAAATGTTATAAAAAAAAAAAGATGCCTTAAACAGTACATTTTGGTTTGGAATTCTGTAGAAAGCATTTTGGTTTAAAAAAAAAAAAAAGAGAGAGAGAGACCTTGTCTGACAGACAGAGAAAGTTCTGGGGATGGAATTGTTTCTTGGCAAATCCAGACATATAGATCTAACTGCTGTATGTAGGAGACATCACCTGTAGGAGCTGGAAGGTGTCAGTGCTTCTCATATTGTAAAGCATTGGCCTAGGAAGGTGAAACAGTTGTCTTTTTGAAGGATTTTTTTTCTGCTGGTTCTTTGGGTTTGATTTGATATATTTAAGCTCCCTGGTTGAGTGTGTTGTCTTTGTTTTTGAGATCTACTGTATGTGTTGAATAACAAGCTATTTCCATTGTACTTGTGCATTTTCCCATTAAATTGTTTGCTTCTAATATTCATACAATGTTAAATATGAGGTGACCGTACAATAGTTAGGAGTTTCTTTACTTACAAAATCACTGGAAATGATTAAATTGCTTTTCCCCTTTCCCCAAGGTGCATTTTTCTTATTTCCATATAGTAAAGTTGAGCTTTTACAGTGCATAATGTGACATTTGGAATGCTTATCAACTGCATGTAAACATTAATAACCTGCACTTTTTTGTCTTAAGGTTTGTTGAGCTGTTTTGTTCACTGTAATTTAACTGTGATATGGAAAAGACTGCATTCTCTGTGCTGTTACTAGTTAGGAAAGAGAATTGCTTTGATTTTGTCTCTTGTTTACTATAGCTTCTTAAAGTTAAGGCTTGTACTACAGGTTGTTGGAGTACTCCTAGATCAGTGTTTTATAGTAGCCAGCAATAAGTAGTGCAGGTCAACAAAAACACAGCAAACTTAGGCAAAGTGTCCTTTCCTTGAGACGCGAGTTCTTTCATGAGGTTTTCTTTAGGATCAGAGTTACCTAAAGTGAAGCCTTTCTTACCAATAGACTTCAGATTCTGCTTGGAATCCTACCGGATCTAGAAGCACACATATTGTGCAATTGTCTTTACACTATAACAGTTAAACACAATCTTACTAAGATTTTGAAACCATTGTCTGATTTATGGTCGGTGGGTTTAAAAAGAAATCCACATGCAGATCTTGTAAGACTTAAGAGATAGATGATCATAGAAAAGACTAAATGACTGTAAAGATGCTCTTTTTTGCATCTCACTTTACTTCCCCAAGTACCCTTCCAAACCCCTTCTCCTCTCTCCTGTTTTGTCCTCCCCTCCCCCAGGTGCTCAGTACTTTACCAAGGTCTATATCTCAGTGTTTTATGTTGGAGTTTTTCTTTGTTTTTATTTTACTAGTTGGTAAACCCTGTTTGTGCTGAAACAAAAAAAGGAAATGGTATATTTGACCATATGTGTTATTCATAGAAGACAGTATGATCAAATGTGCCAAAAACAAGCAAACAAAACTTAATTCCTGATAAGTATGCCTTATTTTGAATGATCTGCTTTGTCTTACAATTAAGGTCCAAGAGCTTGGTAAAACTATTATTTGCCTAAGTATAAAAGAAAACTTGAAATGCATTGCAATATTGACATTCTTTAAAATGAGAGACAGTCAAGTAATTTAATCTAGAGATCAGCCACCAGATTTGAAATGCCCATATATATATGTATATATATATATAGATATATATATGTGTGTGTGTGTGTGTGTGTGTGTGTGTGTGTTTGGTGTTGTTTGTTTGTTTCTTTTAAATCACCAAATCTTTTTTTAATCTACTTTTTATTTGTGCCTCCTATTTGTCATGCTGATGTTAGAAGCAGCAGTCATCCAGCCACAGAGGGAGCTAAAGTTAACTAACCAAAACTGTAGAAATCATTATACATGCCTTTGACAACAAAGGAAGTTTATAAGAAAAGCCATGTCGGCTTTTCCTCCACTAGATACAGATTGGAGGTAGATGAATATTTGCCAAATGGAAAAAACAACAATGTGAGTCAGGAAAGACAACTTTTCCAGCTTCTCAAAAGCCATGGAGAGTAGAAACCAAAACCAACAAGGAAAATAAAAAACCTTGAAAGTCTCACTTTCTAGTTGTCCTATGCAGGGGTTGAAATTTGACTCAAAGTGGAAAATATATCAATGTGTTTTTTAGGTCTTCACATGTAGAGATGGATAACTATTCCAATTTGATTTTTCAGGTAATGGAGAAAGCTGCTAGTAATTTTAACCCCTGCCTAAAGAAGACAGATAATTTCATTTGGGAGCAAATACTTATTGCCTTGAAAATAGCACTGTAATAGCCTATGATAATTAGTTATAGAATAACCTTTATCCCTTTTAAACTATGCAAATTATTAAACAAGTGTAAATTAGGACTCAGTAAAAGATAGTTGATTATATTACAATCAGATGGCATTCACAAACTTAACTGGAGCATATACAATAAAATCTATTAGTCTAAGAGTTTTGTATGCTAACAGAAAAATATAATTTAGCTACCTATTCTAAAAATGGTGAATATTATTAATATTGTATAATAGGACTGGGAAGACTGCCTCCTTTTTTGAAGAGAGAGAGAAAGATTAAGGATTTTTATAATTGTTTTTCATCAAATTTTAATATTTTTGTCAAATTTTTAGGTATTTAATTTGTAAAACAGTTTGCTTTGTACTGGCATACAGAAAATAGGGTATTGATTTTAAAGTTTTTGAAGCCAAGTGATCAAGTACATTTGTAATAAAAGTCAATGGATCTATATCAGTTGTACTCACTGTTTTCATTTCTTCTTATTAATATAGGAATGCTGTACTTTTCTGCAGGAAAACTGAACTAAATTTGGGTGGAAGGGAGGGGAAAAGATAAGTTCCTTGGTAATGAGAATCTGGGTGGGTACTATTGGCCCAAACATTTTACATAATCTTTAAATCAGTTAATATTTGGTATATTAAAAAAGATGCTTATGTCAATTTTTTGTGCCTTTTCTATGGGAATTTATGTTTGTAGGGGTTATCTCATTCACTGTTTCTGTTCTTTAACATTTTGCATTTGGCACTGTTGAAACTTTCTTAACACATTTTTCTTTTATGACATTTTTAGTTATCTACCAGCCATGATGACCCCACTATGGGCATGATTCTTTTTATCTCCCTCAAATGGTTCACCCTCTCTTCTTCATATTTTCACTCATTTTTTAATATTACACACACACACACACACACGTACATTCCAAATGAGTTTAGAATGGTGATTTCTGAAGTTGTTGCTCTGGTGGCTTTCAAAGCTCCACAATTCATTTTATTATACATGTAAATATATTTTTAAGATTTTTACCCCCTAAAATGTGAGATACCAAATCTAATGACTTTTTTCCCTTTTCAGAGCCTTTTCAATGTCAGAATGAGATCCTGCTTTCTAAGTAAAAGTATGCTAAAACAAGGAGATATTGAGCAACTTAGGTTTAGAACAATTGGTGATAACTCTGAGTATAGCATTTATAGTTGGTTATCCCTAAATTTAAATATCTTAATAATTTGGAGGTATATGTATTTCCCCATGAGGGTGGAAAAAACAGGGAAGAGAATTTATTGGAATTGCTTAAGTGAATAAATTCACTGAAATTATTTGTGCAAAGTTGTCAAAGTTTATCAATTTTTATATCAGACATTGTAGTATTTGTTTTTTTATTGCAACTTAACTGAATATAGGCCATTCATAATGAAGTACACTATAAAACTAAAGTGACCACTGCTATTAAAATTACTGTTTTTACCCAGCTGCATGGCTATAGAGAATTTACAGTATATTTTTAAGAATAGCTGATTTTAATATTTGAAAAGTTATTGATCCTAAAATAAAACCTAAATTCAAGACCTAGGCCATTTGACAAGCTTTTTTTGAACATAAATTTAATTATGGGCTAAGTGAAGATCATCTAAACGAGCATTAGCATGAATCAGGTAGAATTTTTTTGATGCAAGAAGAACCAAATGAAAAGTGAAAATTGATTGGTTTCAAGCCAATAATTTGTCATCTCTCAGCTACTAAACTGACTAACAAGTTTTGATGTTGAATGGTCTAGGCAGTTTTTGCCTTTAGGAAAGTTGAGTGTGGCAAAAGTCACATGTTAAAAACATTTTTCTTAAAAAGAATTTCATAGCTAGCTACTCATTTATTTTTATTTTGTCCCCATATTATGTTTGGTATTCATTTTCTTTCTTTTTCCTGATGTGTTTTGCTTTTGTGGAAAATTGTCTTGTTTGATAGGTGGAAAGATGGTGGTGATACTCTATGTAAAATAAAATTACTTCTTACAGACCAGAAATATTTTACTCATTTGGAATTGCAAGATTTTTGCATTTTTATGATATACTTTGTTTCAATGATTATTAGTAATTTGCTTATTAAATTTTTATAGCATTTCATGGGAAAATTTAAACTAAAGAGTTTAATTTTCTTGATTTAGAATGCACTTTAATAATTCAAGAGGCCTCCAAGTTCAAGGACCAAACCTTTATGTTCTAGAATCTTGAGAAACATGGAAATATTCTTATTAGCATGTGTTTTGGTCTAAACTGGATTAACACAGTAGGGTCCTAAGAGGACTGAAGAAAAGATGTCCTTATTGTAGACTGGCAGCTAAACTAATGACACAGGTGACTTATGTATTCACCTGGAAATTGGTCAAACAATGATGGCCAACAACTAATGAATTATTAGACACATGTTGGGTTTGAGTCAAACTCCCATTCAGCTGGAGTGGATTGACAGTTTCCAGTGCAGGTAGTTGTTGGTGGAATTTGACCTACCTCCCTACCTTATACATCTGGCATTTTCTTTCACCCATCTTCCTTTTTCCCTGTTTGTCTCTCCCTCTTTATTCTTCTTCTTGCCACAAGCCTGCCAGTGGCACTCAAACTTACCTTCTTGAGAAGGAAGTAAAGAAATTGCTGACTCCTGCCTTAGAACCTAACTAACTGACCCCAGAAGGATTTTTGTATTATGAGGTAATCAGGTAGTTTTTCTGACTGCTGTTTTCCTCATAGTCGTAAGTTGGTAGTTTGAAGGACATCAAAATTGTTAAGAAATTTGTGAATTGAAGAGAGTAAGAAGTATGTGTGTTTTA